CGTCAGGAGCTTGGAGCCTCGGGGTGGAGGGTGCTGCCCACCCTATCACGTCTTAGGCCTTGCGGGCTGCTCCCCAGCCCACGGCCAGAGCCCAAAGCCTAGGAAGGGGAGGGCAGAAGCAGGAGGCTGAGGAGCAGGGAGAGGGTGAGGGGCGCCTCACCTCCCGGCAGAAGGCCACGATGTTCTCCCAGAGCGCCTTGGCCTCGCCCTCATCTGTCTGCCGCCGCTGCTCCACGTGCATGCTCTCCCTGCGCCTCAGGGGTGCGGCCCCCCGCCGCTGGGTCACCAGGAGCTGAGGCGTGTGGCAGGCAGCGCAGTGCTTGGCCCGTGGTGCGTTGAGCAGGGTACAGGCAGGGCAGGCCCACTGGCCCGGGCGCTCGGGCAGCACGCGGGTGGCCTTCTGGGTCGAGGAGACCCGTCCACAGCCTCTGCCACAGGGGCCGGGCTTGTCCGCCCCGCAGTCGGGGCAGTGGGTGGGGGGCTCGCCATGCTCTTGGAAGCCGTGTAGTTTGGAGCAGCCACAGGCCGAGCACCTGGGGGCCGCCGTGGGGTTCCTGAGCGTGCACTTGGCACACGACCAGGTGGTGAAGTCGGGGCTGGAGGGGCTGGCGGGCGTGTAACGCACGGTGTCTCCGGCCAGGTCGATGACGTCGCTGCCCGAGGTGGAGCTGCTGGCCTCTACGCGGCTGGAGCCGCCCTCCATGGCCTCTTCCTCCAGCACACTCAGCCGCCTGCCAGACAGCAACTCTGCTAGGCGGGCGGCCGCAGCCCAGCCCGAGCCCTGGGGGGGTCCCCTGCAGCCGGCAGAGGGTGATGGCTGGGCAGCCTCAGGCACCGGCGGCTGCAGCTGGGGGGGAACCTCGCGTCGGCTGCGTGGCACGGGGTTGTTCTGCAGGGTGGACGAGAAGGGGCTGAAGGGCGGGACCCTGGGCGGCTCTGGCTCAGCAGCTGGACCCTGGCTGGTGGCTGGGGGGTTGGCCTCGGCGCCTTCCGCAGGGAGTCCAGGTGGAGGCGCGGCAGGCACAACGTGGAAGCCGGCCGGGGCCACCACTTCCGGGACCACCAGGGCTTCAGGAGGGATCCGTGGCAGCGAGAGCCTGCGTGGGCCCCCACAGACGGAGCAGGAGCTGGCCACGGGTGTGTTGTGCAGCGTGCAACGCGGGCAGGCCCAGCCCCCTCTGGGCTCCGCCGTCCCCTCCTCCTCCTCCTGTTCCTCCTGCTCCTCCTCGTCCTTGTCCTTGTGTTGCCCCCTGGCGGGCTCCGTGGCCACCAGCCCCGCAGTCCTCACTGGACCTGCTTCCTCCTGGCAGTTGCCCTTGGGCTCCCCAAGGATGGCGGGTGGCTTGGGGAGGACTCCGTTGAGGACTGGCAGGAGGGCAGCTCCAGGTGCAGGCTCTGGGGTGAAGCCACACACCTCGCAGGCCTCCTTGCCCAGGAAGTTGCGGAAGGTGCAGCGGGCACAGGGCCATTTCTGCTCCTCCACGCTGAGCCGCAGGATGTGGTTGAGGTCGGGCTTGTGCCGGGGGGCCTCGCAGATGGAGCACTGGCGCTGGCCGGCCGGGTTCAGGAAGGTGCAGCGCGCACAGGACCACTCTCCGGCCGTGGCCATAGACCCGGGCGAGTGGGTGTGGCTGCAAGGGAAGGTGCTCATCAGGGTCACCCTGTGAGGTCCTGAGCGGCTGGACCCCACCCTTCTCTCAGCCTGGGGAAGGCACCGTCTGTGGCTGCAGAGCTACAGGGCCGAGAGCCTAGGGCTGAGCATTCGAGGCAGGCGGTGGTGGCAGCTGCCTCAGCCCAGAATGGATCCACGCATGGCTCAGGGCCCCTCTTGCCCATTGGAGGCCTGCCAGACCCCTTGAGCCACACAGGATCCTACAGAGAGGGCTGAGCACCCCAAAGCCGGGCTGCTGTTCAAGGGCACTGCTTTCTCTGTCACCAGGCCTGTGGATGGCAGATGGCGGGGGGGCCCGGCCAGGCTCAGGACCAGGTCGTCCCGGGCGTGGAACAGGTACTCAGACAGAAGGGTGGGTGGATGGGCAGGGGCCTGGGGAAGGCATGGGCTGATCTGAGCAAGGGTCCTCCCCACTCCATAGCACAGCCTCTGAGACAGACTGGCTGCTCTGCCTGGCAGAAAAATCAATTGTTCTTGTAAATATGGCATGAATCTTGTGCTCCATCTAAAACCTTTTGGTTCAGGAAGAAAGAAAACTTGCCTCTTCATAAGAAGCAAAAAAACAAAAAGTCTCCGCAAGCAACACGATTGTTTTGTGGAGCCGAGTGAACTCTGTGATGCTACCTTCCCTGCACTCAGCCTCGCAAGGCGAGGGCCCTGAGCTGCCCCTGGCAGAGTGGATGGGGGTGGACTGTGTCCGGAGAGGCTCAGGGCATCCAACTGGAGCACAGAGACCAAGGCTCTCACAGTGGACTTCTGTGAAAAGCCCAAGCAATCTGCCTGCAGAGAGCCAGGCCTCTCCCCACCATCGCTCACGCGGAGAAGGGCATGGATGCAGCTGTGGCTGGCGGGCTCCCGGCCACACCTGCACCTTCCCTGGCGTCTGGTCCCACCGCCCCTGTGGGTTGCAGAGTGGCCACGACCTTTGCAGCCCTGACTCCGGGAGATGCCTTCACAGACTCTACGCCCCTCTGAGCGCAGGTGCAGGCAGAGGTGGGCTGGGCCTCCTGAGACACACCCTCCCTTTGGGTCTGTGGTTGTCACTGACTAGCAAGGACAGCGTCACAGGCTCCAGAGAGGAGAAAGAGAACTCAGGTCCCCATGACCAAAAAATCGCCAGTGGGGTGTGTCTGCTGGGAGACACCTTTCGGAGCCGTCCTGGCAAAACCCAGGTGAGTCAGGAAGACGGTCTGCAGTTCAGGAGGGTTTCCAAGAAGCAAGAACAAGGCCTAAAGTTCAAACATGGCCCTGGGACACGGGTGAGGAGGGCGAAGGCAGGGCACAGCCCTTCTGTGGTTGGAGACTCAGTGGAGTGTCACCAACCCCGCAGTCTGCACTGTGCCACCCTCTCTCGGTGGGCCGAGGTGGAAGGGGGTCAAGGGTCAGGGGTCAGGTGTCAGTGGCAGGAGACCTCGGTGGGGCCCCCACCCTCCCTTCCCTTCAGCACTGGTTCTGGTCTCCACAATCCCCCAGCCACTCCAGGGCCACCCTCACCTCTGCAGGGCCTGGGCAGGTTCACGGGCTCAGAGACCTGAAACCCTTACAATAATTTTTTTTGACCTTTAGAGATAGGGTCTGACTCTGTTGCCCAGGATGGTGCAGTGGCTCACGCACGGCTCACTGCAGCCTTGACCTCCTGAGGCCAGACCACCAATGCCTGGAAGTAAAATGCTTACGTCAGGAGCCCAAAGACCCAAAGCTAGGCCTAAGCAAAGCCCTTTCAGAATTCTCAACCCAGAACCCTCCTAAAGTCACAGCCACACATGCTCAGTGAGGAGGCCCTACTATCGTGGGATGGGCACCTTCGAAGGGAACGGCTCAGGGGAGACAATGGGCCGCTCCTTACTGTACAAAGGCCAAGTTGAATGGAAAATCGAGGCAAGTGTCCAGAAAATCCAACACGCAAGACCTGTGTGCCCCAGTTATCTGGGTGTTGCCAACACTCAGCTCCAATTGGAAAGGGAGGTGATGAAGCCGCTCGCTGTGTGCAAGACGGAGCCCACCCCGAAGCAGCCGGGACAGCAGCCCCCGGAGCATGGAGGCCATGGGTCTGTGACTGGTGCCGTCCCAGTCCTGGGAGGCAGCCTCTTTCTTAGGAAAAGCGAGGAGCAGGAAGCTGCATTCTGGCCCCCAGGGCCTTGGTCAAAGCACCGGAGCCCCTGAGGCCACACTGAGGAACAGATGCCCCGTCCGGCCCGGGCAGCCCTGCGACCTGTGCCCAGACAGCTCTCGGGATACGCCGGGGTGCCAGACTTGGTCGGAAGGTCCTCCTGCTGTGCCAGGGTGGGTGATGCCATGGGGGCTCTGCTCAGTGCTAAGGGACAGAAGTGGTGCCTCCCTCGAGCTGGGCTGCACTCTCCTAGGCTGGCCACAGCCCAGCCGCTGGTCAGCCTTCCAGGTGGGGTCTACCCTTGTTGCCTCTCTGTCCTAAGCCGCCAGTGCCTGGCCCGTTGCTTACTGATTGAGGGACAGCACCTGCGCTTGCTCCTCTGTGTCTGAAGCCGCTGGCCCGTAGACTACTGGTTTACCGATTTGAGTCAGGCCCTGGCAGCTGTACAGGACCTCAGCCCCGTGCCGGCCACATGCTGCGGGGGAGACACAGGCTGCACCTGGCTCTCCCAGGCTCCGCCGGCCTGTGCACCACCCCTTCGTCCATACGGGGGAGCGGTCATGGGACCACAGCACCTGCTCTCCTGGGGCGTTGGGAGAATTCAGCGGCCACCAGGGCAGCGAGCCGGGCAGGCAGCTCTTCAGTCAATGCCAGGGCTGCTGTGGCTGACCTTCCCCAGTCCCAGCGCCCTCTGTCGGAGCAGAGCAGGGGTCGCCTGTGCATACATGTGGTGGGGAGGGCTCCGTGTGTGGACCCCATCTGCCTTCCCACAGTCTGCTCTCCCACCGCTCTCGCTCATCTCTAGCCTGGGGGTCTCCTCACCATGCACCTTGGGGGCCTGCTTGCAGCAGCAGACAGGAGCTGCCTGGAGCTCAGGCCCCACAGCAGCGGGCCGTGGCAGGAGTGGCCCCAGGGATGTCGACCCAGGGGAGGGCCCAGCAGGAGGCAAGGGTGAAAGAGAAAGAGCAATGTGGCGTCACCAGACACCACGGCCTGACCCTGCAGGCCAGATCTAAAGTCTGACACACGCCCTACACGCCCGGCACAGCAGACCCCGCGCCTGCCCCGCTTCCGTCCCCGTAGCCAGAATCACCGCCGCCACCCCCCAATAGTCCTAGGCCAGTCCCAGGGGATCCTGGGAGCGTGGCCTGAGGCCGTTGGGAGCTGTAGACCGGAGAGGCCCTCCTGAGGTCTGAAACTCCGCCCGATGCTCAAAAAGCAGGGGCCGAAAGTCCTCTGTCCTCTGGAAATGAAAGGGAACAATTCTTTCTACATTTTTCTGTAAGTTTTTTTGAGACAGCGTCTCACTGTGTCGCCCAAGCTGGGCTGCGGTGGTGCGATCACAGCTCACTGCAGTCTCGACCCTCAAGCTCAGGGTTTGTATTTTTATTTTATTTTATTTTGAGACAGAGTCTCACTCTGTTACCCACGCTGGAGTGCGGTGGTGCCATCCTGGCTCACTGCAACCTCTGCCTCCCGGGTTCAGAGGATTCTCCTGCTTCTGTCTCCCTAGTAGCTGGGATTATAGGTGCCCGCCACCACGCCCAGCTAATTTTTGTTTTAGTAGAGATGGGGTTTCACCATGTTGGCCAGGCTGGTCTTGAACTCCTGACCTCAGGTGATCCACCGGCCAAATTTTTTTCTTTTAAATTAACCAGCTGTGGTGGTGCACGCCTGTAGTTCCAGCTACTTGGGAGGCTGAGATAGGAGGTTCCCTTGAACCCAGGAAGTAGAAGCTGCAGCAAGCTGTCCTCACACCACTGTACTCCAGCCTGGGTGACAGAGTGAGACCCTGTCTCGGAATGAATAAATAAGTGAATGAATGAAAAGAAGACAGGCAGGCCGGGCGCGGTGGCTCACGCTTGTAATCCCAGCACTTTGAGAGGCCGAGGCGGGCGGATCACAAGGTCAGGAGATCGAGACCATGGTGAAACCCCGTCTCTACTAAAAATAGAAAAAATTAGCCGGGCACAGTGGCGGGCGCCTGTAGTCCCAGCTACTCGGGAGGCTGAGGCAGGAGAATGGCGTGAACCCGGGAGGCGCAGCTTGCAGTGAGCCGAGATTGCGCCACTGCACTCCAGCCTGGGCGACAGAGCGAGACTCCGTCTCAAAAAAAAAAAAAAAAAGAAAAGAAGACAGGCATAGGTGGATGAGACAGGGAGAGAGGCCCCACAAGGCTGGCCACCAGGGAAACGCAGATCAAAGCTAAGCAGATACCAGCTGCCACCCCCTGGGATGGCCAGAATCACAAGGACAGACAACAGCAGGAGCTGTCAAGGGCCTTGCGAGTGGGAACCCGGTGAGGCAGCCGCTGTGGAAGACGGCTTGGCAGTTCCTCAGGACGTCACAGTTCACCACACGCCCCAGCAATCCCACTCCTAGGTATCTACGCAAGGTAAGTGAAAACAGGTCCACGCAAAACCTCATCAAGAATGTTCACAGCATTGTCCACAGAAACCACGTGGAAGCAGTCCCAGTGTCCATGAACAGATAAAATGTGGTTCGTCCCGCAACGAAGCAGTGAATGAAACTGCCTCGGGCTGCACGTGCATGAACCTGGAGGGCACGGTGCCAAGTGAAGAGGCCAGACACGGGGCCCCACATCCGCGCACCTTCTGCACAAGGCAAACCCAGACAGGAAGCCGGTCAGTGGCCGTCCGGGGCTGGGGGTCCCTCTGGGCTGCGGGATGCTGTGATGCTGGACTGTGGGGATGGGGGGGCCCTCTGGACTGTGGGGCTGGGGGTCTCTCTGGGCTGCAGGATGCTATAACGCTGGACTGCAATGACGGCTGTACAACTCTACAAACGGCTGAGAGTGACCAAACTGCAGTCTTGTAACAGGTGAATCT